TATATAACTTTTAAATATTACAGCCTTTTTACTCATTTATCATTACACAATGTTGTGGGTGTTTGTTAAAGGGTTATACATCAATGGTTTATTTTTAAAACTTTATTTTGAAACTTAAACTCCTGTTAACACATATTAAGAAACGATGAAGTACTTGTATCTCTTTTGTTAACTTGTCTTGTTCTTCTGTCTGTGTGCTGAAAGTGAACATTGAGAATATTCTATTAAACCTGATGTGTCTTTTTCAGTATGAATACAAACTGGACAGAGAATTCCAGAAGGGATGCAAGCTGTCTATTACAGATGACAAAGACACTGTCCTGGCCCTGAGGAATGCCGAAATGAACAGCAATGTGAGTTTTGCATCACTGCGAAATAGATCTGTTACATTTGCAAGAAAATTGCGGAGAAAGTACATCAATCTGTGAAGGTTCTCATTCATCCAGGTCATGGTATAAGTCAAGGCAACATTCACCATATATATTCCCAGATAATTTTTGTACAAGTCATTCTGAATGGAGAAAGCTGGTCGGATGATACAGCAAGTCCAGTTGCCTTGACTTATTTTTTTACAGATAAAGAACATAAAGCTTTTTAAACTATAGCCAGATGACTACCTGAGTCATTGCTGATGATGTACCTTGGTGTTGTACAAAATTGTTTACCAGCATAGAAGCAAGCGTAAAGAAAACCTGTCCAAGTTTCTGGAGCTCAGTTTAGCAGCCTGTCAAGACAGGTTTAAGACTTGATGTAATTTTGTTTAATCTAGGTAAGTGCTTATAGTATCTATATATTTACCTGCCAGGTACCTGGGTCTGCTCATTAGGCATAGTGACTTCTGCTTCAGTTCTGACCCACCTTGTCCCCACAGCATGCCACCTTTATAGTTGAGTTAGGTGTACAAATATAATTTTAGGATGTACAGAACGAAGGTTAGACCTGAAGAAATAAAAGGCTGCTTATTGTACCCCGAATGCTTGTTTTTCAATTCATTTCAGGGTTATTTTAATAGTGTAAGCCACCTGTCTGTAATAATATTAGTTGTACATTACTTATTGTTGCTCAAGTTTATGTGGATGAAATAAGGCCATAGACTTAGAGCTGATATTTTGCTTCGCTTGCAGGTGAAATACAAGAAGAAGTATGAAAAAGGAACGTACCAAGGAGAATTTGGAATTGTTGCAGATACACCTCAGATCATCCATGCTAAATCTATTAGTGCTCTTGTATCTGAGGTAGGTTTTGCTGCAGCAGTATGGGGGAAAGGTGTATTACTGAGCTATTTACCAATGGTCTTCTCACATTAGCACAGTACTAATAATACTAATATTGTGTCTGCTGATCTAGAGCCTCCTTCCAATTGTTCTCCATATCATTACTGAAACAAATGCAAAATGTATTTTCTTGGTCTATACTTTGTTATAAGACTTTATCCTCTTGTACATGCATCAGATCCCTCCCTCATCTTTTATTAAACATTCTGCATAGAGTAAATATGCTTAGGCACTTTTATTTAGGACCCCAGTACACAATACCATTGTTACAAAACCACAACAGTTTATCAGTGCTCTTGGACACTATTAGGATGTGTAACCCAAAAAGGTCCACTGGAGACTGGAAGTCATAAGTAATAGTTTAGGGGTCTTTAAAGCTAATAATGAGACCCCGCTGTTGTACATACAAAAGTGAAACTCTTCTCTGAATCCCAAACATACACCTGGGACTGTGAAGGGGATGCAGGACAGAAAGGTCACTGCAAGACCTAAAGCCAGTCGGTAGATGTAAGATCGGCAACACATCAGTTTCTTTGATGATCTATATTGGGCAAACTGGTCTTGCATGAAGATAAAGAGACAACCATTCTAGCACATGGTCAGAACCATTCTAACATGTGGTCAGAACCAATAAAAGCTGCTACTGCAGCCGAAGAATTGCAACCAACACACTATAGCCCACTATGAATATTACAAGCCATGCACATCAGACTCCTGCTAACCAACCAACCAACCTAGTTTTGTCTATAACAAATTAGCAAAATTCCCATGACTGTTACAATTAAACTTAATTAGTCACGTTGTAACCTAATGTGTAACAGTTGTGATCTTCAGTCCAAAAATGATGGATGTACAGTATATAAGCTAACTTTATAAAACCATAAGCAAATTTACTTATCAACATATTAAATGTGTTACATGTAACATTCGCCTTCATTTTTTTCTTCCTTTCTGCAATGTGAAAAAACTCTGTAAAAACAAAGTTGAAAAAAATAAAAGACGAAAAATAAATACAGAAGTTGGCTAATAATGTGGAGGCACCCAGACCTATTGGCTCTACAATTGTGCTCTACAGTGATTGGCTGTGTCTTACAGAAGTCAGATTGAGAGGGAATGAAGAAACATTGCTTACATCTGTTATCTCTTTTTTTTTCAGAACAAATACAAAAAAGAAGGGAAAAAGCAGCTGCCACACGGTTCATTCACCACTCTCTCTGAGACCCGTGACACAGCTCATGTCAAAGAAGCGACTAAGATTGCTAGTAAGGTGAGTGCTGTGTATTACATCAGATTCATCCTAACTCTATGCAAAACAGCCTTCTCAACAAGAACAACTTAATCTTGACAACATATTTCCTTATATTTAGTTATTAAACAGCAAACTAACCCAGATCTGTATTTAAAGTGTTAGAAGTATAACTTTATCTTAATTAATATTTACAGATACAATACAAAGAAAAGTTTGAGAAGGAGAAAGGCAAGTCTAACTACGCCAACATGCAGGAACCACCTGAGGTGAAGCACGCAATTGATGTGGCCAAGGCCCAAAGCAATGTGAGTAAATAATAAAGTAATTTGTGGCCCCAACTTTTTAAAGTCAGATAACAGAAGAATTCATTATTAAAAAATTGCTTACAGGAAAGCAGCAAAGGCTAATCTTAACTACACAAGTATTATTGACAGACCCGATATTCAGAAGGCAACTCAGATGTCTAAACTAGTCAGTAATGTAAGTACATAATTTTCATGTGCTTTGTAACACTGCGTTGCTATGACTTGTTATTGGTCTGCAGAGTAACAACAACACTTTTATTGGGTTTCTTAGATCCAGTACAAAGCTAAGGCCCGTGAGGAAGCTGGTCGCGGTATCACTTCTCTTGGACGACCAGATATTGAGCTGGCCCAGGAAGTCTCCAAACTTACAAGCCAAGTGAGAATATTTTAATTAACTTACTGAAGCACAGAACCTTCACCGTCACCTCCGGCATATCTAACAAATGTCCTAAAGTTGACAGTCAGTGCAACATAACATTTATTGCTCTACCTTTGGGTTACACCTTTATAGTTTCATTGTATCTCTGGCCAAAACTTTTTTTGTTCATTTTGGATTGAGTATGGAAGGTTTATAATCAGGCCAAGTTTCCATTGCTGTTTCTGTCCCCACTGGGGATATTTACCTTCACTATTTCTCCAGGTGATCATTGCCACTGAGAAATGAAGTTATGGGAAATCCAAAATGTTATGGTTTTTACCAAAAAAGGAAGTTAGGGAACATTTTCCAGTGGGGATTATCCTGTGGCATCTATCTAAGAGGGGATTTCTCCTCTTTTTGTAGAAGTTTTTCTCTAATCTGCGTCTGAGACAGAAAGTGAAGCAAAATATTGTTAATGAGAAACAGAAAGCAAAAAAAAAACTCAAACATTTTGTTAAAGGAGAACTCAAATCTTAACCGCTGCAGTGGGGCTACTCCCACACTGCAAGGGTTAAAGGACAATTAAACCCTCATTTTGCATATATCTACTGCTAGCAAGCCAAGAAGGTAAAACTAACCTGTGTCTCCGTTGCACGCACCCGTCCGAAGAGCTGAAGATTCTCGGGCAGCTGCAAAGGATCATGGGGTGGGTGCATGCGCAGTAGAGATCTTAGGACAGGAGAAGAGGAGAGACACAGGGTAAGTCAATGCAGGCAGCCCGGCAGCATGCACACGCACAGACACCGTGGGACACAGGAGACGCAGCAGTGAAAGCTGGATCAGAGACCTACACCATTGCTGGAGGGACTCCTGAAAACTACTGGAAAGAAGAAGATGATCAGATCAAGAATCAAGAGTGAGTCCTTAACGCAGCATTGGGGGAGAGGAAAAAATTTAGACTTTATTGTCACTTTAAGTGCTGGTTTTGTCTAGGAAGCTAAAAAAAAAAAAAAAGTTTTACTCACCCGAACCATGATCCCGGCTTGCTCTTAGACTGGTCTCTTCAGCCTTGCTCCCCCTCCGGTCCAGCAGTCTAAGGTCCTGTGACTCATCTATACACCATATAGAATGTGAGGATGCTGAGGGACATACGAGTAAATGAGGAGACAGGCTGCAGGGTGTGGTGTAGCAGCCAGCCAGAATCATGGTTCAGGTGAGTATAACCTAGACAAAATGAGCACTTACCCCCTGCAGTGCAGGGATAGCCCCACTGGAAGGGTTAATATTTGATTTTTCTGAAGTTCTGCTTTAATAATTCCCTACTCTATCCAAAGCAAAAAAATATATGGCTAGATATTCATTTAAGTTGGTATTAGTTCCGAATGTATTTGTAAGCTTTTGCACTTCCTTACTGTAACACATGATCCTCTAATGCCACTGATTGTTAGTGAAGTACTGCTGATCAATATATTTTTGGCTCAGCCCACAACACATCTGTTTTCAGTATAGGGCTCATGCACATGGGCACCTGTACCCCAAATTCAGCCATATTTCCTTCTCCAGGGAGCAACAGGTGCTGTGTACAGCCTCTCACGTACATCAATGGCTGTACCTGGCTGTAGGAGAGTATATGCTGGTACTTCTGTACACCCACGCAGGTGTGTGGATGTACAACACTGGAAATGCACTGTCTGCATACAGCCGAATTACGTTGTATGAAGCAGACGCCCATGTGGATGAGCTCACACTATATTTTTTGAAGATAACAATTAAACAAATCAAATAGGGATGCACCAATATCGATACTAGTATTGGTGCCGATACTGAGTATCTAGGGGATATTTACTCTGGCTGGCAGTGCCGTGAGGGAACATGGAGCCGTCTTACTAGCCAATCAGGAAGCTGGGCCGAGGGTAATGACTCACAGCCCGGCTTCCTGATTGGCTGGGAAGCCGACTTGCTGCTAATTGGCCAGGAAACCAGGCAGCATGTAATTTCCCGCTGCCGGCTTCTTGATTGCCGGGATGCCGGCTCCATGCTCGTTGGCCAGCTCGATGCTGATTGCCAGAAAACCAGCTTTCCAGCCAATTAGCATGGCGCTGACCAAATGGCATGGAGTTGGCTTCCTCCCTGCTTCCCGATTGGCAGTGAAGCTGTCTCCCTCCATGCTGATTGGTTGGCATGCCGGCTTCTTGCCAATCAGCATGGAGCCAGCCAAACAGCATGGAGCCGGCATCCCGGGCAATCAAGAAGCCGGGCAGCGGGAAATGACATGCTGCCTGGCTTCATCATTTCCCTGGAAGCCGGCTCTTTGCTACCGGAGGTATCAGTATCAGTACTCGGTATCGGCGAGTATAGAAATATAAATATCGGTAATCGTGCTCGATACCGAAAAACCGGTATCAGTGCATCCCTAGTATCAAATAACATAGAGAAGGTATTTATATCATTTTAGAATATTGTTTAGAACTTAATCCCTTGTTTTTTTCCACATGCAGAGATGCTACACTATTCACAAGTGTTCTGAGGGTCTCATGAGGCTTGTGTAAGCCTAGCAATCCTTACTAATCTGATTTTTTGGTGCTGATTTTAGGCTGAGTATGCGAAAGGAAAGCTAAGGGGACATGGAGCAGCATCTTATGACACTCCCATCATGAGGACACTAAAAAAAGCTAATGCGCTCACTAGTCATGTAAGATACGCATGTAATGCAAACTGTGAATGCTACGTTCCTGTGGAAATGCACTGCGTGACAATAAACTGGGGACATTTATAAAAAGAGGTGCCAAAACATACTCTAGGCCTTAGAGAAAAATAAGCGTTTATAGTTATTTTTTGACTGCTATGGGTTTGCTGTGGCCCTTTTTGCTTAAATGCCTTCCATTGTATGTTTGTCTGTTACATGATAGGAACGAAATATCGTCTTATTTGTGCATGGTCTCTGTACAACAATTGTATTCTCGTCCAAATAAATTGCATCAGTTTATAAATGATGTGTATTTTCATTAAATTAGGCAACAAAAATAAGAAGACAATGAGGGGAATTTATCAAAACTGGAGCAGACAGAATCTGGAGCAGCTGTGCACTGCAACCAATCAGCTTCTATCTTTCTTTTTTAAATGTTAAAGGAGAACTATGTGGTCAGTGCTTTTCCCCATAGTTCTCCTCAGGGTCACGGGGGGACACAAACTAGCGTCCTCCCGTGACGCAAAGCTCTGTATACTGCGAGCTAAAGATCGCGGTATACTGAGACCGCCAAAGCCGGACGGATCCCAACATTACTGTCGAGATCCACCCAGCTGCGTGATTGACAGCTGGCTCTGCCTATATAGAGGCAGAGCCAGCTGTAACCGCCCCCTCCCCGTCCAGTCAGCGCTGGAGGATCAGACAGGGGAGGGGGGAATCCCTGCAGAGAGTAGTGAGTGACAGTCACAGCTCTCTGCAGGGTCAGGATCGAGAAGTGAGCGAGCGACGGTATGTGTTCGCTCACTTCCCGATCTAATGAGCCGACGTGTGACAGTTTCATTGTCGCACGTCGGCTCGAACTATGAGGATGAGTGATTTTCACTCACCTCATAGTTCTCCTTTAACTGAACAAACTGAAGAGAGAAGCTGATTGGTTGCCATGGGCAACCGCTCCAGATTTTGTCTGCTCCAGTGTTGATAAATTCCCCTCAATGTATATTATAGCAACTTATTGTACTATAAATAGGTTAAAATTAGACTTGTAATATCTTTAAAAATGATGAACCGATAGTCAAAATACACATAACTGACATAGTTTGTTTTGGAAAGTGTGATACTTTTTTGTTTAGATTTTAAATTGAGGATAAGGCTTTGAAGCATGTAATGTATGAAGATATTGTAGCACTTTGTGTAAGAACTTTAAATTTGACATGAAGTTCACTGTTGAAGTACATTGTCTGTTTTAGGTGTTCCTGTCTACCTAACACTCCATTGCTTGGGAATTTCCAATAAAATTATTCCATTTTGTGTTTTAATAATCTTTTTTTTATTTTTTCATAGATAAAGTACAAGGAACAGTTTTCAAAAGACAAAGCAAAGAGACCGCAATATAATCACAAAGAAGCCCAAATCTATGAGACCATGAAGGAAGCAAATACGCTCGCTAGCGAGGTAAAATACACTATATATATAACGTGTATTAGAGGGATAAAAAAAATACATATTTGTTACATCTCTGCAATACATTCACATTGTTCCCCATGTTCTATACCTTTGAAAACATTGCAAGTACAGGCTCATAACTTTTGAAATCTGATAAGCCCCACCAGCTGCACTGCAGAACTCCATCTATCCCTGACCTCTCTTTCCTGCTCAGCCCTGCCAGGTTCTATTTGCATGGACTAAAGAACACCTCTCTCTGTTCTTATCTCCATAATATAATAAGTTGGGGGGGTGGGTGGTATTCTGTAATTTGCCAGGGGAGAGCTGGGCAGGGCTGAAAACAGCGTTTTCATCACAGTTAGCTCGAACTGAAAGTTAGAAGCTCACTATTTCTGGCTGAATGAAAAGGTTTTTTTTTTACTTTTTTGGAGACTAAACGTGGGTAAATATGCAGGTGTTGCAGTGATGAATTGAATATAATTTTTAATTTTGTCAAGACATACACTTGAATATATTGTAAATAACATATAGTATATATTATTTAGGGGCTACCCCCTAACTGCAAGGGTTAAAGGAGAACTATGGGGTAAGTGTTTTTCCCCATAGTTGTCCTAAGGGTCACGGGAGGACACAAACTAGCGTCCTCCCGTGACCCAAAGCTCAGTATACCGCCAGCTGTAGCTCGCGGTATACTAAGACCGCCGCAGCCGGGACGGATCCCGACATTACTGTCGAGATCCACCAAGCTGCGTGATTGACAGCTGGCTCTGCCTGTCTAGAGGCCGACGTGTGACAGTTTCATTGTCACACGTGGGCTCGAACTATGAGGCTGAGTGATTTTCACTCACCTCATAGTTCTCCTTTAAGTGCTCGTTTAGTGAGGAAAATAACAGTTATACTCACCTGAACCTCAAAGCCAGCTGGCTGTGGTAGTGCTCCCTCCAGCCTGTCTCTTCCTCCGCTGCAATGATTGAATTTTCCTTGGTGTCCTATACACTTTATATAGAACATGACCAAGTACGGGCGTAGCCCCACTGCAAGGGTTTTACCCAGAGTTCTTGTTTAAGTAATAAATATACATTTATATATCGTAAATTGTTTTATTATTTCTATTTTTTTTATCCGTGTTGCAGGTGAAATATAAGGCAGATCTTAAGAAGCTTCACAAACCTGTTACCGACATGGCGGAATCTCTCAATATGCAGCACATTACCGGCACGAGCAAGCTAGCCAGTGAAGTAAGCTATCTAACAAAACATAATAGTGTTCATTTAATAATCATTTCAACACTTACTTTGTCCATAATAACGTGTGCTGATTTCTCTGCTTTCCTCTTGGGCATCAGTTGGTAGTTATCCTATTCCTGTTTAACCACTAGCTCACTTAATATAGTTGCTCATAATACAGAATTTAAAATGACAACAACAAAAAAAATAGTAAACATAACAGCTAATAAAAATAGTTATCTAACCTTTATTTTGATTCTTATCCATCCCAGTAAAACCCTAACATGTTTTAAAAATTTACATTTTAATACAATAAAACCTTTTACATCGTAATATTAAGTGTTTTAAATAAATATTTTGACATAATCTTTCATTTTAGCTTTTTAAAAATAACCTTTTTTTTTTTTGCTTTAAAATATGTGGCTTTTTATCATGGCAATTTAAGTGCTTTTGTATATCTTGAAATATTTTTTAAAAAGCAAACCAAGGATATCAAAATTATCACTTAAGTACAACTAGTATTTATTAACCATAAAAATGTACATGATATATTTAAAAAAAACACATAAACCTTATATGTATGCAAACATTATACATTATTTAAATGATTGATTGTTATTGATTTAAATTTTGATAGGATTCAGCCTTCTAAATATGATTTAATTTGCCCAAATATTACTTGCTTTTGGCTGAATTCTAAAATATATTAATAATACGGTATAATAATTAATTATAGATTTTGGATAATAGATTTACTTGATTTTACTTTTCCCCAAAGTAACATTTTATAAAATAATCTTGGTATCCAGTAGCATACAGGCTACTTAGTAGACAATGTTTGAGGCAGTTTTTGACACTTTCCTTCAGTACCAGTACAAGAAGGAATTTCAGAAGAGTAAGGGTCACTACCAAGTGGTGCCTGATACACTTGAACAAGTTCATGTAAAGGAGGCAACAGAACTACAGAGCATAGTAAGTTATATGTGTCATTTTTAATTCTTGTTTGTATTGTTATTAATGTGACCTCTTGCAAACCATGCAAGATTGATTTACTAGAGAAGTCATTTTAGTACTGCTTTGTGTTTATCCTAAATACCCAATCACATTCAAATACCTTTTTATAAATTCTCCTGAAATTGTATATAATAATAATATGTACATTACGTAGTAAAACTATAATGGTTTTGGTTAGTTTATTTTCATTTTGAAATTTGTACAATCTTGTAAACAAATTTTTTTTATATATTTTTCTTTACTTATGTAAAATGTTAATTTAACAAATAAACAGTTAAAAATAAAGTGCTGTGGGTCTAGAGTACAGTCACCTAAGAGTGCCTGAACATACCTGAAGCAACCTTTGATAGTGTGCCTTTTGGGCCCATTCACACCAAAATCAGAAGGTCATCGTAAGTCAACGGAGGGTCCGCTGACTTGCGATGGTACCTTCCAATTTCTTTCCAAGCTCACTCACGTGATAGACTACAATCTCAGTACAGATGAGTAAACTAAACATGAGATTGTAGTCCATCACGGGAGCGAGCTTGGAGCGGTGACTACTTTACAACACACGCAGGGACCATGGGGGACAAAACTAGGCACCCTCCAGAAGGAAGGACAATATCGGCACCAATTCAGAGATGATTGGAGGATCTGCAGCCGAGTGATACACAAATAAGATACATTTTTGTTAATAGTTAAGGTACTTGAATGCATTTTTAAGATTTAACTCCTGAGTTTTGTGTCACTTTAAAGTGTGAATCTCCCCAGCAGGAGCATAGAAAAAAAACCTGACAGAGGTTATAATCCCTACATGCTTTATCCAAAACTAGCAAAAAGGTTTGATTAGGCACACACTTTAATTTAATATCATATAAATATTTAACTATTTAAATGTAAAAAAAAATAATTTGTTATCATGATTTTAAAAATGTCAGAAATATTTTATTATTTGTATTTACAGCGGCAAATCTGATTTTTTTTTGAGTGACGAAAACTATTGAGATTGCTCTGGGTTGAATTATAAATAACCAATAGCTCCAGTGGTAAGGAGCTGAAGTAAAGAACAATTGAGACATTTGGCTTTATTTACTAAACGCAATTAGGCAGTTCCACTTTGCAAGGGAATTTGAACTTTGCAGGAGAGGTTCCCCTTAGCTTAGTGAATGTGGTAAAAGTTTACTTTGCAAAGAATACCCAATCACATACGAGGAAACATGATCGATGGAGGACAGCAGAGCTTCATCTCATTCACTATAGTAAGGGGAAACTTCCTCTGCAAACTGAACAGCCTATTTGCCTTTATGAAATCAACCCCATTGTTTATAATAACTTGCTATAGTCATTTGGTGGTCTTCCACCTTTTTTCCTCTTGTATCTTTATTTTCTTTTTATTCTTTTTTTTTTTTTTACACAAATCTCACTGGGGATGTGGGGGGGGGGGGGCTTTTGTGGGAGCTTGTCATCTCTACTGTTACAAAATGTGTGTTCATTTGATTTATTTCACCACAGGTGAAATACAAAGAGAAATATGAAAAGGAGAGAGGCAAAGCTATGCTGGACTTTGAGACTCCAACCTATGTCACAGCTATGGAATCTCAGCATATGCAGAGTGAGGTAAGGTTCTTGGAAATTAATCCACCCCATAGCAAAGAACATACAATAGATACGCCAGCCAACTTAAAAAAAAAACTCCTCAGATTATTATACTAGCCAACTACATTTTAGGTTTAATTAGGATGTTTAACATGTTTTACATGTATATATGTACAGTATATTCTGCATATTGAAAGGCCGGTTAACGTTTTATTTATTCTGTATTGTTTTTAAAATTAATACAATCCAATGAGCAAAAGAAAAAGATAAATGTTGAAGTGGAACTCAATGGTTGTTTAATTTTGGATATACATAAATCTAGCAGGTGATCTAATCATTCCTGGAGATATTTCCCTTCACATCTAAAACAGAAAGGAATGGGATATTCCCCAATGGTGACATGGTTAGGGGAAGGATCTAACCCTTCTACTTTAAATGTTTTTTGTCTGAAAAATTTTATTTAGTGAATAAATTAGGTGCATTGTTTTGCGCCATCAGTATGTGGCTTTTTCTTGTATTTTGAAAGAGTAACTGTATCTGCCTGGACACAAAGTAATTTGAATGAAACATGAAGCATGAAACACACATAATAATCTTTTACAGAGTAGCCTGAAATATTTTGAAAAGGATTTTATATTGCTTGCTAAATTTAGCGAAACAAAAAACGTATTCTAGTGATCTTATGATGGTGGAATACAGTAAAAGGTTTTACGTCTGTTGAATGGTGTCACAGTATTTTAATTTAATTTGTTAAAATTGTTAAGTCCTTCAAGAAGAAAATCTCTCGAAGTTGATATTGTTTTTGTTAAACGGTAATCTTATACAAGCTGAGATATGCATGTATAAGCAGTTTAATGTACTGTAGCATTTATTCATCTTTCCTTGTATTGTATGTAATTCCCTTAAACATGAAAAGACATTTTAATAAGTAGTTTGTAGGACTAGGAAGTTTTAAATCTCAGGATTTGATAGAAATGTACTTACTCCACCTAAGGACCAAAAAAAAAACCTGTCAAGAGAAGGAAAACCTAGAGAGCCATTTACATTCAGACCTACTTCTGCAGGTTTGACTATCAGCCACTCAAAGGGTGCAACTTTGCATTCTCTTCACTTCTTAACTGTTGTGATAGTCGATGAATTGAACTCTGTAGATAACAAAGAAAAAGATGATAATGTGGAACAAATCAAACTAGTGTTCATTTCTTTTATGGTGTCCCCAGCCAGTTCAAATCATTAAAATGTTATGTAAAGGCAATCTTTTTTTTATTTACAGGGTTATTCACAAAAGGGTGAGGAGTCTGGAGAAGGCAGGAGAAGTGAACAATCTAGGACAACATAGCTGATTTTGATTTGATTTGATTCAGCTCACTTTCCTAATCAGCTATTTTGTCCTAGATTGTTCACTTCTCCTGCCTTCTCCAAACTCTTCACCCTTTTGTGAATAACCCTGTTAGTTGTGAGTAGAACAGGGAAGGGTTAGAACCACTGGGAGGTACTTAGCTGAGTGGCTAGAACTCCTGATTTTATTACCCATTATTGCAACTGACCCGTTCAATGAATTAAACTTACTAGCTTTGGTGAGGCCCATAAGTGGGGAGTCCTGGAGGAAGTTCAAAAACATAAGAAAAGCAGTGAAAACACCACGCCAGAGTTCATAGAGTTTAAAAAGGGTTTAAATTCCAACATATTTCAGGGCTTTAGGCATTTCCTCTTCATAGACTTGACACTTAGAGTCACCTGCATTTCCATAGGCACAACCCCTCATGGCAATGGCTGGACCTGACTTCAAAAGGAATCCTGCTGAACACCCCATGGTTCACTGGAAAGTGGCGGACCTAGGATGGAACTATGTGATGCTTTACGAGCTGCAATAAAGTGCTTTCCAGTGAATCTTGTGGTGTGCAGCTGAATTCCTTTTGGAGTGGGTGTTGTGTGCACTGGAACGGAGATGCACTCAGCCGGCAGGCACTTTGATTTTCCTTGTCTGGCTATGAAGAAGCAGTGTTACTGTTTCATGGATGTAAATGCCTGGACCTGCTTATAGGTCAATCTTACATTTTTCTGGCATGAAGTTAGAGGCATTCACTTAAAGAGGTTCTTTGGCTGATACAGGAGTGGATGGTCTGGATGCCATCAAAAGATAGGGGGGGGGCATGTAAGTGCCTGCTATAGCGTAGCAGTCAATCAGAAATCAGCCATGTATTGCAGTTAGAATATTGAAGTCTAATTATTTACAGCATCTATACACTGAATACATTCATGCTTATATAAACATATATTACATGTATTTTTTTTCACTAACTGAATTCTACATTAAAGCGGAACTAGGCCCACCAATTAAATGGTCTTCCAAAACAGTTACTTTCAAGTAATGCCAACTGTCAAGGTTGCCAGTGTGCTTCAGGGACGTGTGGTCAGGGGAGGCAGCTTTTTCTCCATGTCAGATCGGCATCTAACAGGTTACACAGCAGGGAAAGCCTCCCTTTCTCCTCCCTTCCTCCTTTATACTAGCTTGGGGATGGGGCTTCGTCCGACGGGGTCGGGACTTCGGTCGGCGAGAGGCAGGGAAGGACGTGCTGGGGGTGAGGCTGGGGAATGTCTTACCCAGAACAAGAAGTACCGCACATCACTGGTGTGCTTACTTCATGTGACATTAAGGGTGAAAGTCCCGTCCCCCCCCCCCCCCCCGTCCTAG